TTCTATTACAGTACATAGCGTTTATTCATGTTGAATTGTATCTGCCACATGGCAATCCAAGCACATATTTTATCTAGATCAATTTGATGGGCATGACAATCATCTAGGTCTCCTATCTCCCAGACACCCATCTGCATCTGTTAGGTCTTCGGGATCTGACTTACCTACCTTGAGGCTACCTTGAGGTGCTTCCGGGGCTTAGTGTCCCCGCGGCCCGGTCGTCGACCAGGCCTCCTGGTTGCTGGACTGATCAACCAGGCTGTTAGACGCGGCTGCTCGCAGCCTGACGTATGAGTCACAGCCTGGTTGATCAGGTATCCTTTGGAGGTGCTTATCCAGTTCTCTCTTGAACACTGTGAGGGGTTTGCCAGTTATGCCCCTTATGTGTAGTGGAAGCGTGTTGAACAGTCTCGGGCCTCTGATGTTGATAGAGTTCTCTCTCAGAGTACCTATTGCACCTCTGCTTTTCAACGGGGGTATTCTGCACATCCTGCCATGTCTTCTGGTCTCATGTGGTGTTATTTCTGTGTGCAGGTTTGGGACCAGCCCCTCAATTATTTTCCACGTGTAAATTATTATGTATCTCTCCCGCCTGCGCTCAAGGGAGTACAGATTTAGGCTCTTTAGTCGGTCCCAGTAATTTAGATGTTTTACTGAGTGGATTCTAGCAGTAAAGGATCTCTGCATGCTCTCTAGGTCAGCAATTTCTCCAGCTTTGAAAGGGGCTGTCATTGTGCAGCAGTACTCCACTCTAGATAGCACAAGCGTTTTGAAAAGTATCATCATCGGTATAGCATCTCTAGTGTGAAAAGTTCTTGTTATCCAACCTGTCATTTTTCTTGCAGTTGTGACGGCTACTTTATTGTGTTCTTTAAAGGTAAGGTCTTCCGACATGAGTACACCCAGGTCCTTTACATTGCCTTTTCGTTCTATATTATGATTTGCCTGCGTTTTGTACGTGGTTTCTGTTTTTATATTTTCAATTTTTCCGTAGCGCATGAGCTGAAACTTATCCTCGTTGAATACCATATTATTTTCTGTAGCCCATAGAAAGACCTGATCTAGATCTGATTGGAGGTTTGCCGTGTCCTTTATGTTGCCAACTCTCATGAAAATCCTAGTGTCATCTGCAAAGGATGATACAGTGCTATAGGTTGTGTTCTGGTCTATACCTTGACGACTGTTTGGTGTGGGGTCTCCAGTCGGTTTGCTTGTCTGCTAGCCAAAGATCTGGTTCTTTCCCAGCTTGCCAGGTTCGGGATCCCGGTAAATTGGAGGAAGTCTTAGTTGGTTCCGTCCCAGGTTCGGACTTGGCTGGGCCTAGTGTGGGATTCTCGGACTGCATCCGTTTCTCTCCCTCCTGTGGCTTTGCTTTGGTTGCCACCCAGCCTTCAACTATATTGATGGGGATTGTTTTTGTTTACATTTTGTTCACAATCTTAACCGACATTCACATGTCGGTTAAGATTGTCTTGTCCTTTCTTGTCTTTTTCTGGACTGGCATCTTGTACCGAATACTGTTGCTTCTTATTGTGCAGCATTGGCGGGCCCGCTCCAGCTTGCGTTCAGGGTGGATGTCATTGCTGCTCCATTCTGCAAGCTCTATTGTGCGTTTTTTCACCTCCGTCCTACTCATGCGCCACCTGAATTGTCTAGGTCCTTGGACCAGGTTCTTTCCTTTCTTTCCTAGGTTTGTTGTGGCCTCTTTGGTTCATGATTACTTCGGGAAAGCCTTGTTTTTGTTGGCTTTGGCCTCTGGGGGTCGGGTTAAGGAGCTTTATGCTTTTCTTCGGTGCTAAGGTTCTGTCTGTTTGGTCCTTGTGGTCATTTTGTTAATTTGCAGCGTTCTTTTCTGGTGAAGAATGAGACAGCTGGGGTCCATTGGTTGTGGATTCTTGGTTGGTTAGGCCGGGGGTGCATCATGTGCTGTGTTCAGTGGCCGCTTTGTCGCTACCAGCGGGCCACTGGTTTGGTGACGGTGGTTGGGCTCTGCGTGGATCCGGTTTCCCGGGTTCCCTGTTTCAGGGCTCGTGTGTCTCAGATTATCCTTGGTGTAATCAAGTCTACCCAGCTTGCGGTCTACCCTCATGCCTATGATGTGCAGCAGTATGCTGCTCTTGCAGCTGTTTTGGTAATATGTCTTAGGTTGACATTAGGGGGTGGGAGTTTTGGAGGTCAAACAGGGTCCTGGCCACCAGGTATCTCATGAATGTCCTGGGCCCTCTACGACCTTGTGTTGCTTTGGGGAGCCTGCTGCCACCGTCAGTCTCTTCTTCACTTTGAGACCTGCAGTGCTGCCGCCTCCCTGGTAAGTACCTGTTTTACTTATCAGTGAGAAGTTAGCTTCAGGGAGCCGACAGGGCTCCCCACAGAAAACCAGCATCGAATGTAATGAAACGTAATTTTCTGAGTGAGCTCCAGAGGTTTTCTGACATCCTCCCTTCTTCTGGTCGGCGGTCTTCATCATTCAGGAACTGGGGTGGTGGCATAAACTTCTCTACTTTATGCAGAGAATAAACTTCTTGTTGTATTGCTGTGTTTCATATACAGTACAACCTCGATTCAACGTACCCCGATTCAACAAATCTCTTGCTAGTTCGCACACTTTTCAGGCCGGATTTACTCTCACGGTTCGACGAACAATGGTTCGCCGAAGCGGGGGATGTTCGGATTTGCTTACGATATCGAGACAGATATCGGACTGGTGGAAAACTTTCCCATTCTATCACAGATTACAATTAATAATTCGCTCATATGACAAGTTCGATCACATAAGTGGACCGCACAAGTGGTCCACAAGCTTACGATGTTGGGACAGAGTTCACAGTGGTGGAAAACTGTCTCATTCTATCACAGATTACAATTAATAATTCCTTCATAAGACAAGTTGGATCACACAAGTGGGCCACACAACAAGTGAACCATATGAACCAAACACCAGCCAGAATGGTCCACACAAGTAGTGACGCATATCAACCAAATACCAGCCAGAGTGGTTCACACAAGTGAACGACTGAGTTTCAATGATTTTCGTTCACTGATTTGTGGCACACGTATCTTTGTAAATTAATTTAAAGGCTGAAGCGTGAATAGCTAGCTAATGTGTTGAAATCTTCTTATATACATTTTCTGTGATGATACAAGATGAGTGAGGGTGGACAGATAAGGGAATACTGTAAAGTGAGGTTTCACTCACTTTTGTTTGTGTCGTCATAGTTCAGTGACCCATGACTTTGAACGTTTCAGATTAATAAATAATTTCTAAAACTGGTGTTTTAATAACTCTTTATTATCCTAATTAAACTAAAGTAAATAAAACAAAAAATATACTGTAAATATGATAGATATCTGCTATTTGAGAAATTATTTATGTTACTGGTGGCACAACTCCAGCATGAGTGGACGGGTGTAACCGTGTGCACACAACATCATGCGTGTTTTGTTTGATTTTGTTGCCACAGTTCAGTGATCTACGGCTTCGAAGTAATAAAATGATTAAATCAATTCTAAAATAAGTATTTTGTATAGCTCTTAGTATCGTAATAATGCTGCTAAACTAAATATATAACCCAAAATTATATAATTTGATGTAAATCGAATATTTGAGAAAAATTTATGTTACTGGATCTGGTTTAAACACCAGCCTACTGTAGGGTGTATGTATAGACCTAGTCTGCGTTCGTACAGTATGCATCCAGTGCCCTTAGCTTTGTCTGCGATTGACGTACAGTATTTAACCGCCGGTGGAAGAATAATAGTAGAATTTACCATTTTTTGACTACAGCTGTATTGTTATACAACAAAATGTCTCGGGGGCTTACTAATAGTGCCTTATTAATGCCAAAAGTGAAGCAATATTTTGCAAGAACTTGTAGCAGAAAATCAACCAGCACGAGCACAACGTACCCAACACAAGAACAGCCGTACCCAGCACGAGCACAGCTGTACCCAGCACTGGTACAACAGCAGCCAGCACCAGCTCAGATGCAGCTGAAGCCACAGCAGCAGCGAGCACCAGCAAAGCTGATGCAAACATCTAAAAACATCGTGTGTGACGTGAACAGTTAAAACAAGTGTTAAATTAATGTGTACAAAATTAAAGATGCAGTAATTTTAGTGTAGTACTACAATACAGTTTTCATAAACTGTATTGTAGTACTACAATACAGTTTTCATAAACTGTATTGTAGTACTCAACATACAGCAGAACTACTTAATCAACACAGTGTTAACTGTATAATACACTACAGTACGTATTTACTGTACATCATTGACAGCTCCATGAGACTTCAAGATGGACACAACTCCAACAATAAGGTAAATAACAAATGTAACACAGTATTCTTTAGTAGGGTAACAATGTATAGGTACAGTATATAATATAATAATGCATTTTTATTGCGTACAAGAAAAAATAAGACTGACGCAAACGCCTCCTGAAGGTCACCTATTGCAACGCATCCAACGCTCCAATATAGTACGTTTAATTGAGGTTGTACTGTATCTATCTGGGTATCTTCATGGATTGCCTCGGGGTCTTTGTATCCTGAGGGCTGAGATGTATAGAGTATGTCGTTGTGCATATTTAGTGAAAATTAAATTGTTGAGGAAAATGAACACAAGAAAATGACTGGAAACAAAATGTATCAGGTAATGGTAATTTTGCTTAATCAACAGCAGGGTGGGGATCACTGAAGAAGGCCTAGACAAGTCCACAAAGGTAGCAATAAGGAGCAACTTGCAACTGATATATCTGTACTTGAATAACTATTTAGTCTAAACCTGTCAAACACCAATAGGTGGGTTTTGCATAATCAACCCATTGTTTTAATGTAAAAACAATGTACTTATGCCAAAAAATAACATGAAATTTTAAGTTACGTATATTTAATTTATTACTCTTTTCTTAAGGTTATTTGTAAGATTTGATCAAGAACATTTTGATTGCTTGCCATTAGTACCTAATGTCTTTTTTCTTTAATGATTGTTGTGTATTACAGGAGAGTCTGAAGATGCACCTATCTCTGAAGATGGTGCGTCTTCACCGAGAGGAGGATCTCCCTTGAGAACTTCTCGTCCTCCCCCAAAGCGCAGGTCACAGAGACAAATGGATAAAGCAGAAAGAGAAGAGGTAACTTTTGTTACAATGGATTTTAAGTGTAGTACTGTACTCTATTACTTAGTGATGTTATTTGAGGAGAGGGTGGGCAAGTGGAGCAATCAATCAGGCAATCAAATGAGCCTTACAGCTGAGTGGACAGCGCTCGGGATTCATAGTCCTAAGGTTCCGGGTTTGATCCCCAGTGGAGGTGGAAACAAATGGGCAGAGTTTCTTTCACCCTGATGCACCTGTTACCTAGCAGTAAATAGGTACCTGGGAGGTAGACAGCTGCAACAGGCTGTATCCTGGTGATCGGTAACAAAAACAAGGCATGGTCGAAGACCGGGCCGCGGGAACGCTAAGCCCCGAAATCATCTCAAGATAATCATCACAGGGCACCACAGTCACTACATTTTAAGGATCCCATAATTAATGAGTATCTCTGGATCATATTTTTTAGTTTGTTATACCTTTACATTATTGAGCATTGTTACATACCTTAAAATAATTTGAGATTGCGTCGTAATTAAGTAGAGTGCTTGTGTGTTAATATGATGCAGTATATATTTTTTTGTATGTGAATGGTTTACTGCGCTAGTGACTTTTGGCACTTTATTTTAATTTAGGGTAGGGAGTTGTCTATCTGATGGTATCTTGAAAACAAATTGGCAATTTTTCTGGGGGGAGCCCCGTCGGCTCCCCGGAGCTATCCTGGCTGATATGCTAATGTCAGACTTTGGCATCAGTCATGTGTATGGAGTTTTGTGGACCTACCGGGGACCACGAGCCAGAACCTGCCCTCCTCAGAGAGGCAAGGGGAGCAATGGCCCATAGAAACCCCCGTGTGGTTGGAAGCATTCTATGTTTGCCATCGACAGGGTCAGGCACCCAGAAAGGTAAGCGACCCAAACAAACCCCTATTCTGGTGCAAATTGCTACAAAATGCCGAACAAGTAGATAGAACTCCCGAAACAAACGAGCAAACGAGCATGACTGCACACGTCACCATTCCGCTGTCTGTGCAGACCCCTGCGCCAGCACTCCACACCCCAGTTCTGAGGCTGATGCTATAGGCAGAGGTCGTGTGCTCTGGCTCCAGTGATTGTTTCAGCACTGTGCCTTGTGTGTAGTGACTGTCTTCTAGGTAGTGTGTGAGCCAGGAGATTTTCTTAAGTACTCTGGCTGTATGCACCTAGGGTTCCCTTCCCTAGGTGCCCATAAGTACTGCCCTTGGGGGTTTGGGGCCTCGTTCCACATGGTTCTGCCTCTGCTTGGCCGTTTACTGCTTGGTTTTCGGCCGCCCTTTGTGTGCTTAGGTGTTTTGTCTCCCTTGTTTACCTTTGGGTAGGAGGCAGTTTGTACTGGTAGGGGCGCAGGGTACTGCGCAGCTTGTTTTCACCATTTATAGCGGCCGGCTCTGTTCCAACTGGGTACGCTGTCCTCTTGCAGGGTTTTCTTTTTCGTTTTGTTTCTCTGCCTGGTGGGGGGGGGGGTGGCCTGCCTTGGTTGTTACTCCCTGTGTACAAGTACTGGGTACTGTTTTTCTTTTCGGGTGGTACCCCCTGCTGAGTGTACACGCCCCTGGGGTTCAGCTGTTTGAAAGTCATTTGGTAGAGTTGGGTGCCGGTTAACAGTACCCTGCCTGGGCTTTCCTGAGCGTGAGTTCCGTCTCAGGACCCTGGGAAATCCCAAGGGGGTGCGTGGGTCGTGCTTATAGGGATTCGGACTTGGGGGTGATGGTCGCTTTGGCCTTGGTTTTGTCTGTATCCCCTCGTCCTTCCCCTTCTGTGGTTCGGTCTGGTCCCCCCCCCCCCCACGCTTCCGGCTCCGAAACGTCTGAGGGTTTCCGAGTCGGGGCAGGGTTTAGATGGTCTTGAGTCAATTCTCCCTGCTGAAGCCTCTGGGTCTGACCTGTGGGCCCCCTTCCATCCGTCTTTTTCGTTTGAGGCCGGGTCTTTGGGAGATGACTTGGCCCCGGGTCTGGATGTAAAGGATCCCGGGGCTGGGGAGGGGCTGACTTGGGGGGCCTTGTGCCCCGTTGGACCCCACCTGGGTTTTTCTACCCTCTGAGCGGGGCTTACTGTTACAAGGAGTGGGGTTTTCTTCCCCCCCCCCCTATTTGTACGAATTGGATATGGTGTCTGCCCCTCCCCGTGTTCGGTTCCGTGTCTCTTCGGGTGCTTCGGTCCCGTCTTTCCGGGTTTTTTTGGCTTGCCGCATCCAGCTTAATGTGGTGTGAGAGGCCTTTGCGGCTTACCTCCTGCGAGACCCAGATTACGCCTCTGTCATGGATATGTCTTCGTTCAGGTTTGGGATCTTCTTTTCCCTGCTGGATCCGGTATGAGGGTTCCAGAGTCGTCCTGGCTGCCGGACTGTCCTGATTTTGGTTTGGAGGCGTGGCATACCTTCTGTCGTTCCTGCACACTTGAGTGGCTTGAGGTGTTGACGGTGGTCATTGATGTCGGCATTGTGCAGCTTCATGTGCAGGTTGCTAGGACTTGCATGCTTGTGGCCTCTTGGCTTCAGCTTTGCACTTCTTTTCCCTCCTGGAGCTGTCTTCGGAACTAGCTTGAGGAGGATGTGGAGGCACCTGGGTCCGGTCCCTTGGGCGCGGCGGCTCGCTTGTCGTCTGCCTTGTTGACGCTGTTTGCACCGATCCTGCGAGATGCAGTGTCGCTGTTTTATACCTCTCGGCTCGAGTGTCAGCAGGCGTTGCTTGCTTCCTCCCTGGAATCTGATTGGGCCCTGGTTCTTAGGATGTCTTCGCCCTTCTGGCCCCTTGCTGTTTGCAGATTCTGCTGTGGTGCAGTATCTGCAAGCGGCTCCGGCTAGCTGTCGTCCCATGTCTGATTTGTTGGTTCTCCAGGGACCCGGGGGGGGGGGCCTTCCCGGAGTTGTGCCAGGGCTCGGGGTTCCACTCGTCGGGGTAGGCTACGGGTGCCAGTTTTGGGGCTGGCGCCTCCTTCGTAACCGCCTTCTTCTGGTCGGCACGGTGTTCGCTCTGTGCGGGGCTCGAGTTCTCATAAGGGGTGCCGGCCCTTTTACTGTTCGTTCCATTGACGGGGTGATGGGAGGGAGGCTTGCTCTGTTCGCTCATGCCTGGTCTCACGATTTGTGGGCTTATCGGGTCCTCTCTGACGGTCTGCTGTGGCGTCTCCTCCTTCGGGGGGCTCGAGGCTGACGGGGCAGGCCTCTTCCCCTGCGCTCTGTCAAGTAATCTTGGAATGGGTTCCTCGGGCATAGTCAAAACGACGACGTCCCTCGGGGGGGTGGGGGGGGGGTCTCCCGCCTGTTTTCTGTCCCGAAACGAGACTGTGCAGACCTGAGGTTCATTCTCTAATTGTCCGGTCTGAACCCCTGGGTTCATTGTCCCTCCTTTTGGATGACTACGCTGTCCCAGGTCTGGCATCTGTTGGAACCGGGTGCTTGGATGGTGTCCGTGGACCTCCGGGACGCATATTGGCATGGCCTGATTTATCCGGGGTTCAGGGACTGGCTTGGTTTTGTTGTGGGGCATCATAGTTACCGCTTTCGTTGTCTCCCGTTCGGGTTGAACCTGGCATCTCGCATTTTTACACGCCTTTCTCGGGTCGTGGTAGCCCGTCTGCGTCTTTTAGGTGTTCGGGTGTTGCCTACCTCGACGGCAGGCTGGTATGGGCTCCCAGCCGGTCCGCTTGTCTGCTAGCCAGGAGTTTGGTTTTTTCTCAGCTTGCCAGGTTCGGGTTCTTGGTGAACTGGAGGAAGTCCCATCTGGTTCCCTCCTAGGTTCGGACTTGGCTGGGTTTTGTTTGGGACTCTTGGACCGCTTCCTTGTCTCTCCCTCTGGAGTCTCTCTTCGCCTGCGGTCCCACCTTTGCTGTTATCTTGGGGCTACCAGATCACCCGGCAGATGCTCGAGGGCCTGTGCGGGAGCCTGAACTTTGTGATGTTGGTCTACCCTGGCTCTTAGATTTTTGTCCCTTTTTTCTGTCTGTTGCTGTTTGCAGAGCGGTGGCACATTTTCTACAGGTGGCTTTGTCTTGTTGCCGGCCTATGTTGGACTTGTTGGTTCTCCGGGGGCTTGCGGTGGTCCTGCCCGGAAGGGTCGTGCCAGGGCTCGGGTCCCTGGTCATCATAAGCCAGTTTTACCAGAGTTGGCGTCTGGTCAGCACAGATGTCGCTCTGAGTGTCAGTCGGGCTCTCATAAGGGGCGTCGGCTTTTTTTTTTTTTGCGGTTTGCCCTGTTGACGGGGCAATGGAGGGGAGGCTCGTGCTGTTTGCTAATGCCTGGTTCCACAATTTATGGGCCTTTTGGGTCGTTTCGTGCAGCCTGTGGTGGCGTTGGGTGGCTCCTCCCTCTTCAGGGGGTTTGGGGCTGGTGGGGCAGGCCTCTTCACTTGTGCTCTTCGGGTTATACTGGAGTGGGTTCACTTGAGCATACTGTAGTTCAAGCGACGGCATATCTTAGGTGGGTTTCCCGCCTGTTTCCAGTTCCGAAATTGGATTGTGTGAACCTGCAGTTTGTTCTGGACTTGTCCCGTCTGAACCACTGGGTTAATTGCCCCTCCTTTTGGATGACCACTCTGTCCAAGGTCTGACAGTTTTTGGAGCCAGGCACTTGGATGGTGTCCCTGGACCTCCGAGACACGTGTTGGCAAGACCTGATTAATCCCAGGTTCAGGGACTGGCTCGGTTTTGTTGTGGGACGACAGGCTTATAGTTTTTATTGCCATCCTTTCATCTTTAATCTGGCACCTCGCGTGTTTACACGCCCTTCCCGGATTATGGTGACCCTTTTGCGTATGTTAGGCGTTCGTGTTATGGCTTACCTCGATGACTGGCTGGTCTGGGCTCCCAGCCAGTCCGCGAGTCTGCTCGCCAGGGAGTCGGTTCTTTCCCAGCTCGCCGGTTCGGGTTCTTGGTAAAATGGAGAAAATCCCATTTGGTTCCTCTCGCAGGTTCGAACTTGGCTGGGTCTTGTGTGGGACATTCGGATTGCTTCCTTGTCTCCCCCTCCTGCAACATTGCTGTGGCCGCGGTCCCGACTTTGG